ATAACACAGTTTTATAACACTTTGAACACTCAGATCAGGGTAATAATGCAAGAACCCTGCTATTTTAACACCCCTTGTGTTTAAATGGGATTGTAGCTAGCAGAGTTCTGCTCCTAGTAAGGGCAGGACCAACATTTCCCCACTCTTAAGCTACTTTACTGAATCGCTCTCTGTTTTTCAGATAGGAGTTTCTATCCATAGGGATCAATGCTGTGCTATTCAGGCTTAGAGAGACATCAGCCAGTTCAACATATAATTCCATCTGTGGCCAGGATGGCTGATCAGGTTAGTGACAAGACCAGCAACCTTTCTGCTCTAGTCACATTGCATTCTTTCACTGTGGTCCTCGGTATCCATGATGGCTGATCTATGGGAAATGAGTCTGATCTCAAGTCTAGTTCCTAGCATGCAGAACACATTCATAATTGATAATCTTGGCACTTGCAGCAGGAGACATGACTTGAGAGAGTTCAGACTGCTCAGCCCCTCCAAGTGAAGCTCCAGGCAGCGCGCCTGGGGCAGCACGGTAAAGCTAGCGCTGCCTCCAGCAGTCCTGTTTCAGTCACGAGGTCATTGTGACTCCTTTGCTGCCGGTCTGGCATCCTTCAAGCCTCAGATTTACTTAAACTCAAAACCTCAGCTAGTGTCAGCTTTTTTCTTTTTGAATCACTCTATTTCTAACTGCTTCAATGCCACCTCATGAGAGTGACGATTCTGGGAAATAAAATGCAAAGCAACCTAAATAATTGTTCTTGTTCATATTCCATTCCCACAGCGACAAAGAGTACCAGTTCCTATATTCACCAACATACCTGATCTTCATTTCCCCAGAGACCTGTGTTGGGACTTCGTTCATGTTCTCACAAAGCACGTTCCAGAACTCTTCTTTGGTACATCCTGAAAATATATATATATTTTTAGAAAGGAAGAAAAATTAGTATGAAAGACATGAACTTTGTTCCATTTAATGCTATTGTCCTATATCCACGTGTTCTGTGTATGGAATATTTCCATTTGTATACAAGTTACATGTATTATTATAGTCAGTGACTTTTTATAGGACCTGTTGGTATAGTTCTTTCTGCCAAACTCTGCTCTTAAATATTAGGTAGCATTTGTTGTGTGTGTTTCACACAACAACCAGCCCCGTCAGGATCTACAAATAAAGATATCAATTCACTTGTATCAGAAACAGAGCAGATACCCATAGCCACTCCTGGCACAGCTGGGAGGTAAGGGCTCCTGGTTGGAATGGGATTATCATCAACTGTAGTTCTTAAAAAAACAGCTCTGTCCTTCTGATCCCTGTGTGTTGCATGATGTAGCTGGCTTATGCAATAGCCCCCCTCATGGCTAGGGGTCACTTCGCAGGCATCCTGCTGTTGTTTCCCCCCCTTTTTCAGGGCCCCCTTGAGACCTGCACACAAGCTTTTCACATGGACCGAACACCCTCCCCCCACCCCGCCTGGGACTCTTGCTCTCACAAAGGATCAAGCATGGATACTCCAAGCCAAAACCAGCCAACGAGTACCACAGAAGCTGACACTGAGAGAACAGAGGACAATAGCAGTGCTCCTGCTTTGTCTGCCTCACAGCGCAAATGGAGATATTACGAAGACAAAGAATTAATAGCAAACCTCTCAAAAACAAGACGCCCAAACTGGAGACAATGTTTGAGGAGCAGGATGTAGTTTGCCTTCCATGGTGCTTTTTAGGAAATCTGAGAAACAAGTTCAGAAGTAATGGGTCAGAAGATCCATAGGCACTGACGTTGTTTCAGAGACTACTGATGACTGGTGGTTCCTCAATGAGTCTGCATAGGATCAGTTCAGTAGACGCTGGGATTCAAAAAGTTAAAACTTAATAAACCATCAAAACACAAATTGTCAGCATTACCTGTCCACATAGACAAAGTAAATATCCTATATCAACAAATCACACCTGTTCTTACTGTTCATTTGCTAGGCCATTTGTCACAAGCCTAATTCAAAAGACGAAATCACTGGATTGCGACTCTAATCAAGCAGCATTTTTCCTACTTTACCTAGTTGTCAATTTTGATAATTATCAATGTAAGTATTTTTTCATCAGTTTGTGTGTGTACGGTGAAATCGACATCCATGGACATTTACTGATAAAAAGCTACTCTTTCCAAGCCTAGATATATTGAGCCACGTGAGGGGGTCACCCTTTCATTGCGCAAACCCACCTTGAATTCCGCATTGCCATCTGGTGTTTACAGATGGAATAGCCAAAATCTTTAGCCCTAGAAATTTTTTGAATGACAGCTCAATGACTGCGTTAAATTTGTCACTGGTGATGATCACCATCATGAAGTGTATATAAAAGACAACAGTGTGGGATGTGAACTAAAGAATAGTTTCTGTATTCTTGATGACTAGTGCTAGACTAAAGATTAAGGCCGGTGTGTGTTCATCTACTCATGTGAGGTTGGAAAGATGAACCAAAGCACTAGCTGCAGTTCAGAAGACAAAACAAAACAAAACCCACCAACAAATCAATTCCAGGAAAGCCATGCTTAGAGGCCACCTCCCACATCAAAGTTTAAAAGAGCACCTGCAATGGATGCAGTGACACCTCCTGTCTCTGAGGGTACGTCTACACTTACCTCCGGGTCCGGCGGCAGGCAATCGATGTTCTGGGATCAATTTATCGCATCTTGTCTAGACACGATAAATCGATCCCGGAAGTGCTCGCCGTCGACGCTGGTACTCCAGCTCGGCGAGAGGAGTACGCGGCATCGACGGGGGAGCCTGCCTGCAGCGTTTGGACCCGCGGTAAGTTCGGACTAAGGTACTTCGAATTCAGCTACATTATTAACATAGCTGAATTTGCGTACCTTAGTCCGAAGTGGGGGGTTAGTGTGGACCAGGCCTGAGGGAGCTAGTTTTAAAGGACCCTCAGGTGTGACAGGCATGTGAGTGGCTTAGAGCACAGGTCCTGATAGCAACAGCAGCACTTGTTATGGAGAGGGCTGCAATGGAGGAGTGACAGCAGCAAAGTCAGGGGACAAGCCGGCAGTATAGGCTCCCTAGGAAGTTTGTAATGCAGTAGATTAGATGGCAGGTAGAGGCCATGGTGCAGCTTCTAGGCAGTATCAGTAGCTTTTGCCTTTTTTTTTTTTTAAACAACCCAGTTATGGGAAATTTATAAAAAGAAGCAGCAGCTCCAAAAAATGCAGCCTCGATCTTGTATCATGTTAATGAACAGGGCAAGTCTGTGCATGGAATTTTAATTACTAATAGTGTCCATACCCATGCAATGCACAGGTCTTTCCCTGTGGAACTTGGGCAGGGAGGGAAGCTCATTATAACATATAAAACGAAGCGTTGTTAGATACAGCATTTGCTGGGTAGAGCGCATTGTAGTTAAGGTTGTTGTGACTTTCATCAGGATAAAAACTCCGATTCTTAAGAGCTCACAGCATTCCAGTGAATTCTCCTTTGAGTCTGGCATTTTCCACACTGTCTCAGCCCAAAGGGTGAATTTTTTTAGAATATCTTTTCACTTGTTTTTACTTTAAGGTGAAAAAATATCCTAGTTGCACTCTGTGAAAATGCTAAGATACTTTCTTTGTGCACCTGCCTCATGGATGCACTTTCAATTGGAAATGTTATGGGTGCCTAGTCCCCACTGAGGCCAGTCTGAATATCTGTTTTACAATCCCCAACCAATAAACATTTAAACAACTCAGTTCTGCTTCTCCATGTTATAGACTCTCTGTAACAGCCAGAGGGCTGAAACGGGCGGCAGGACTAATGGTCTGAGCTGCTCTCTACCCAGAAAGTGCTTTAGGCCTTCAGGGCACCATTTACCCTCGTGCAGAGCACTAGTACGTGGCCTATGTGCATAATCCTGGTGCTGGGGCTCTGCACAAAAGTGAATTCCACCCTCAGCCCACAAGGCCCGGCTCAGCAGCCGGTCCAAGGGCCACCCGACCGGGAGGCGCGTGCAAGTGGCTGTTGAGGCAGGGTCGAGGCGGGGGCGCGCAGCATGACCAGATTTTCAGGAGGAAGAGCCAAGCCCTTGGCCCGGAGCTGCGTGCCCGGGGCATTGGCAGCAGCAGGCCCAGGAGAGGAAAGTCCCTTCCCCTTCCGAGGCCCAGCGCTTTCCCGGCCCCCTCCCCCCTGTTCAGCACAACAGGGCCCGGCGTGGCAGTCCCGGTGCCCAGGGGAGGGAGCGGCTCCACCTGCCGCCCCCGGCCTGGCTGCCGGCGAGTGAAGGGGGGTGCGGTTGTCTCTCGCCCCGCTCCTGTTTCTCCCTCCCGGGGTGGTAGCTTCGACCCTGGGCCCTGCCTTCGACATGTCGCTTCTGCTCTGAGCCTTGGCCCCGCCCGGTGTCTGTCCCGCCCGCCGCCGCCAGGCGTTTCCCGCCCTACGGGCGCCATGTTTGTTCCTTTCCCCCCCCCCAGCCACACAGATTGACAGCGGGCCGCGAGCTCGGCCTCTGCGCGGGGTCAGATCCCCATGGCAACGCGGCGGCCGGCGGGGGGGCAGGAACAGGGACCAGGCCACAGCGGCGCGCGGCGAAATCGTTCAGTCAGTGGAGCATCGCGCACGCGCCGTAGCCGCGTCACTGGGGAGCACCGTGCACGCGCAGAGCCGAGGCGAGCCCGCCGGGCGCTCCCTGAGCTGCGACAGCAACCAAGGTGCCGCCCTGTTACTCCCCGGAAGCCCCACCCCCTCCCCTGCTTCTCACTGGCCCCGCTGGGACGCCGTAGGGGGCGGGCCGTGTCCCCCATTGGCCACGAGGAGGAGGAGGAGCTGCTCGCTGATTGGTCGGTGGGGCGGACAGATCCGCTTCCCCCCCCCCCCCCCCCCCCCCCCCCCCGGTGACCTCAGAAAGCGGCCGAGGAGCGCGGCGCGAGGCCGGTTCGGTCCAACCCCCCCTCGGCTGGGCGGGCCTAGCGAGAGCCCGTCACCCCGCGCCGCTGTAGCGCTCCCAGGCCGCGCGTGCGCAGAGCTCGCCGCTGCGGAACAGGCGCGCGCCGCTCTGGCGGGAGCGGCGCCCACGGGCCCGCCGCTGGCTGCAGGGGCGAGCCCGGCTCCGGGGCTCGCGGTCCCTGGCCTTGGCACGAGCTCCGCCTCCCGCCCGTGTCCCCGCCCGGGGCGCCAGGGCGTTCCCCGCATGGCGGAGCCGGGGCCCGCGCCGGCCGCGTCTGACAGACTCGTGCTGAAGAACGGGTCCGGGCACCACTACGTGAAGCTGCGTCTGTAAGTGCCGCTCGCCCCCGGCTGTGGAGCCCGAGTCCCGCGGGCGATGGGTGGAGCTGGCTAATGGGGCTGGATGTAAACCTTGTTCTTTGCAGGGAGTTTCAGGACGGTGGGATGAGACTGAACGCTGCTCACTTCAAGCAACTGATCCTGTCCGCCCTGAAGGAGTTACACGGCGAGGTACGGGAGCATCGGCCCCGTGGCTGACCAGTGCACCTGTCGGGCTTCTTTGTCAATAGCCTCTCGTGGACTTTTTGTTTGAAGGGTCCAGAAGCAGCCCTCATGAGGAGCTCGTTTCCAGTCTAAGCGCCTGCATGATAATGGCCAAAGAACTTCATCTAATAATTTATGGCTCAAGCCCATAACTCTGAGTTGAGTTGAGCCGAGCCTCTCTCTCAACTTGAAGATTGCACATGATGCAGAATCACCACATCCTTAAATAAATAGCGCTGACTTTTTAAAAACCATTATTTCAAATGGAAAGTCTAGGGGAGTGTGCTGCTGAATGGCAGAGCCTGATCTTTCTGCACCTTGTTCTTTATATACCGCACTTTAGCTATGGCTACACTGGCGATGTACAGCGCTGCGACTTTCTCGCTCAGGGGTGTGAAAAAACACCCCCCTGAGCGCAGCAAGTTACAGCGCTGTAAAGCGCCAGTGTAAACAGTGCCCCAGCGCTGGGAGCTAACGCTCCCAGCGCTGTAAGCTAATCCCCTCGTGGAGGTGGAGTACCTGCAGCGCTGGCGCGCGACCACACTCACATTTCAAAGCGCTGCCGCGGGAGCGCTCCTGCGGCAGCCCTTTGACGTTTCAAGTGTAGCCACGGCCTATGATTATGGTTGGTTGGTTGGTTTGTTTAAATCTGTAAACTTCAGGCTGCTTTTAACAATGGTAGTAAATGTTACAATTCTTCTGTTTCAGTAGGCAAATATACGAAAATCCCATCTTCACTGCAGTTCTGATGTGTATTCAAAGTTTTCTGAACCCTGAAGTTTCTTATGCTGCATACACGATTCATCTGACCTAACATTAATTTTAGCAGGGCAAAGAATTTTGACTAATTGACTTCTCAGTGTGGAAGCTGTTTCACCCAAAATTGCAAAGTAGTGATTCTGGAAGATCTCTGAAGCTAAATGGTCAGGCTGGGTCAGTATGTGGATGGGGTCCCTCAAAAGATGACCAAAACGTTGGTGATTCTCTAGGTTCGTGGCCTAATGAGTGAGTCTAGCTCATCCTTTCCATTAGAAAACATAATTTAGTGAAGGCGAAAGATTTATACAATCTGAGGAGAAACCATAGTATTACCCGAATTAGAATTATTACTAGAAAGTCAGAGCTGAAAGTAAGCAGAAAGGAGGCTTGGTTCATGGGGCATAAAGGGAAAGGAAGAAAATTTAAAATTATTTCCCTTGTGCTCCCTCAGAGCCCTTCTTTCCCTGCTTTCTGCTGTTTCATAGACTTTGGCTTTTAAGTTCAAGAAACTGAACTAGGAGCCTTAATGTGCCTCCTATCAGCCTGGATGCTGCTTCAGTGCTATTTACATTCACTGAGCTGGGTGTGAAAACAGCCATTTTCCTTTAAGTCCCGGTGTCAGTGCTCCTGCTGCAGGGGAGCGTCAAAGGGAAAACAGCAGGAGGGAATATGGCCTACTGGACTGGAACTCAAGAGGTCCTAGGTTTTGTTCTTGGCTCTGCCACTGATTTACTGGGTGAGGTGGGACAAGTCATAGCACCTCTTTGGCCTGGTCTACACTACGACTTTAATTCGGATTTAGCTGCGTTAATCCGAATTAACCCTTCACCCGTCCACACTACAGAGCCAGTTAATTCGAATTAAAGGGCACTTAAAATCGATTTCTGTACTCCACCTAGACGAGCGGAGTAGCGCCTAAATCGATTTTGTTAATTCGAATTAGGGTTAGTGTGGCCGCACACCACCGAATTACTGTGTTTAAATTCATGGGGTAGTGTGGCCACACACCACCGAATTAATGTGGTTAAAAACCGAATTAAGGTGCTTAGTGTGGCTGCGCACAATCGAATTTATACAACCTGTTTCCCAAATTCGAATTATCTAAATTCGGATTAATCCCGTAGTGTAGACATACCCTAAGTCTGAGTTTTGCCAGCTGTAAAATGGTGATAATGATGCAAAGTGCTTTGAGATCTGTGAATGAAAAGGGCTGTATAAGAGCTGGGTATTACAAAGTTGCTCTAACAATAATATTTTCAGTTGGAGAACATGGAAATCATATGTTCATAAACTGGTGTTAAAGCAGTGAATAATATTGATTTAACAGTAGTACCCTATTTGTGCATAGGTTGGTGCAGCCTTGCCTGTTGATGTCTTAACATATGAGGAAAAAACCCTGTCTGCAATACTAAGAGTTCCCAGCAGGTAAGACACTGATTGCATATAGAGTACCTTGCAAGTACCAGCATGGAATTGTGTACGATGTATAAATAACCTTTAATTTGAAAATAACGAGCTTACGTCTGATAGTTTCCTATCAAAATAAGGGAGAAAATAAAAGCTGTGATTTCATAGAAATGCAGGGCTGGAAGGGACCTTGGGAATCCTTCAAATCCAGCCCCTGCACTGAGGCCGGACCAAGTAAACCTAGACCATCCCTGACAGGTGTTTGTCCAGCTTGTTCTTAAAAATCTCCAGTGATGGAGATTTTACAACCTTACTTGGAAGTCTGTTCCAGTGCTTAACTACCCTTCTAGTTAGAAAGTTATTTCTAATATCTAACCTGCTGGTAAATCTTTCTTGCAGCAGATTAAGCTCATCACAACTACTTCTACCTTAAGTAGACCGGGAGAACAATCGCTCACTGTCCTCTTTATAACAGCCCTTAACATAGTTGATTGTTATCAGGTTGCCCTTCAGTCGTCTTTTCCCAAGACTAAACATGCCTGGATTTTTTAATGTTTCCTCATGAGTCAGATTTTCTAAACCTGTTTGTCTGTTGCATTCTTTGACAGGGTAACAAGCCTTGTGGATAGGGGGGAAACGGTAGATTTGGTATATCTTGACTTCAGTAAGGCTTTTGATACTGTCTTGCATGACCTTTTCATAAACAAACTAGGGAAATACAACCTAGATGGAAGAGCATATTGAGTGGGGCCTTGTAGGGATCAATTCTGGGTCCAGTTCTGTTCAATATCTTCATTAGTGATTTAGATGATGGCATAGAGAGTACACTTATAAAGTTTGTAGACAATACCAAGTTGGGAGAAGTTGCAAGTCCTTTGGAGGATAGGATTAAAATTCAAAATGATCTGGACAAACTGGAGAAACAGTCTGAAGTAAACAGGATGAAATTCAATAAGAACAAATGCAAATTACTCCACTTAGGAAGGAGCAATCAGATCCACAGCACAGATGGAGCGGAGCCCCGGAGCGCGGGACGCAGGCCCCGCACGGCAGCACCCCCGGCCCTGGGGGGCCCCCCCCAAGAAAAAAAAAAAAAAAAAGGGCTGGCTGGAATGCCGCCCCTGAAAATGTGCCGCCCCGAGCATGTGCTTGGTTTGCTGGTGCCTGGAGCTGGCCCTGGCGTTGGGAGAGAGCTCTCCCGGTGTCCTAAAAAACCCACCTCCACGAGGGGCGTAGCTTCCAGCGCTGGTGCAATGTCTACGCTGGCGCTTTACAGCGCTGAAATTTGCTGAGCTCGGGGGGGGGTTTCACATCCCTGAGCGAGAAAGTGCTGTAAATTGCCAGTGTAGACAAACCCTAAGAAAAATGGTAAAGCACTAGGAATCAAAAGAGCAGTAAAAAGGCAGACTAAGAAACCACCTCAAACACAACAAATTTCCATTGGCATTTGTGGGTTTAAACTATTTTTTGACTCAGAGACCACAAAAATGACTGGTCCAGAATAGTTAAAATGACACACTGGTCTAAGAAGTGACGATGCGTAAACCTCACAACGTCTTGACAGAGCTGCTGCTTGTGTGTAGTCCTATCTGCTGCATCTAGTTACAGAAGTAAGTGTTCAGTACTAGTTACATCTGCAGAGCCAATGCAGGTTAGAGTGAATTGGATAGTGTTACTTGTGCATCACAGAATTGGTTCCTGTGTTCCAGGCAGGGCTTTGGAGCTGTGCTCCGGCTCCGCTCCAGCTCCAGGCAAAAACCTGCAGCTCCACTGCTCTGGACCTGCTCCGCGCTCCAGCTCCGGGCTCCGCTCCAAAGCCCTGGTTCCAGGGCCAATCAGTTACACCCGTGGTTAATCAGTTGACGGCAATAGGGTTGCTCAGATGACACTGAAAGGAAAATTGGGCCCACAGAATCTCTTATTGATGATCATGCATGACCTAGAAAGAACCCAGCTTGATTTTGCTAGGCTGTATGCAGGGCTGGAGGTTAAAGACTAAAACATCTTTTTACTTAAATTGAGCAAACTGAATACGTACTCAGTGAGACGATAAACATGGATCCATACAGTGTTCCTGTCTTAAAACATAAAATGACCAGGAGTGGATGATGTAGTACTGAAACCTGTGTCTGTTATCCCTTGCTGTGGGAAGAGGTCAGGAGCAGGTGGGAGATTAGGGCACTAAAGATGAATGGAAGCTATTGGGGATGGGGAAGGGAAGGAAACTAAAGGCACAGGAAGAGCGGTTCAGGAAACGGGCCCATTAAAAAAGGGTTTGACAAGGGGAAAACCCATGAGCTCCTGAGGTCTCTTCCAACCCTGATATTCTATGATTCTATGATTCTTTGAGCATTGATTGTATGAAATACTTCAAACCATAGATCAGACAAACGACACTGAAGGGTAATTGTCACAAACTTGTCACCAGAGCCCACTGATGACATTGCAGTTGGGAGTTCGTTATTCCTTCTGTTTAGGGTATCTCTATTTAAGCTGTATACCCAGCAGCAAAACCTCTGAGGCATGTGAATCCTAATAATATATTTAATGTTGTCATAATTTAGTGGCCTTGTCAAGCTGTGGAGTGCTCTAACACTGCTGGGCTCCTACCAGAACAGGAAGTGTGCTTTCAGAGTGATACAGGTAAAGCCCTGGGGAACTCCGGGACCTGCCCCTGAATTTTAGCCCTCTTTAGGGTTACTCAGCCTACTCAAGTTCACAAAACCTCTTAATAGAGACATGGCTTACTTGTGTAAAAACGGATCCGGTTTTAGAGTTAAATACCCATAAGGATGGGTGAGAAACAGATTGGTGAGAGATTGAATCGGTCTGCCTTATAATTACTGAAATTCAGTCGACTTAAATTGTCATGTCCAGGTCTCTCTTTATATTGTACGGTGGTTGTAACAATCACCTGTTGTCATATCTGGGGTTGTCTGAAAGGAAGTAGATGCTGGGAATCGTCTTTCCTTTTGGGGGCCCACATAGATGCGATCTTGTAAAACTAGACTCATGTGTCTGAGTTTCATCACTTTACATATCAGACCTGACCTCACTGTAGTAGATCTCGTTAACAGATCTTTGAGAAAACTAATTTCCATGACAGTTTGTCCTTGGCCCCTATCTGGGTACAAACTTGTATGTTTCCCCCACTGTCACTCACTCACTTCAAACCCCATTGCACTTGAATTCCAGAGCCCAATGCTTGTTCCTTTTGAAATGCTTCACTTCATTCTGCCACGTAACTTTCAGTAACTGAGTCTGGGAGCTGGAGCTGGTCTCCAAGGAGATAGTTGAATAACATGGTTGGCTTAAGTTGCTCTCATTTTGCTTTATATGGGGGAAATTTGTTGTGTTTTTTTTTTTATCTTGCCTGCTGGAAATTGTTTGGTATGTGTGATGTTTTCATGATGTGTTATTTTTTTTTCCCCCACCAGACCTCTCCATTTCTCCTTGCGTTATCTGGGAACAGCAGAGAACTCCTACTGGATTGAATACACCGGAGACGTGGTTGGGCTGTAAGAAGCAGAAGTTGCTCAAGATGTTGGCACTACTCAGACCTAGAATTTTTGGTGGGGATTTCAAAAGAACCATCCTGACAAAACCAAACATTGCCAGCTCGTTGCTTAGATCTCCCTCTCTTCAGCGTTCACATATACAGGTTGGAGACAAGGCTGAACTTACTAAAGCCTTCACACAGAAAGATGTTGTTAGTTTTGCTGACTTAACTGGGGACACAAACCCACTGCATTTGAATGAAGACTATGCAAAGAGAACTAGGTTTGGGAGAACAATTGTACATGGAGTTTTGATCAACGGACTTATTTCTGCAGTTATAGGTACTAAAATGCCTGGCTATGGTTGTGTGTTTCTTTCTCAGGAAATTCACTTCCCAGCTCCCTTGTACATTGGAGAAGAAGTCTTAGCTGCAGCAGAAGTGACGAGACTGAAAAGATCTGTTGCATACATTTCAGTATCATGTACTGTTAGGGAAAGTGAAAAGATTGTTATGGAAGGGATAGTGAAAGTCATGGTGTCAGAAGGTCAGCGCTCGTGACTGCATGGTGCTTTATTCTTTAGTAAAATTCAGAAATATGTGGGGGGTTCACTTGTGTGGTACCTCAAACCTTGGTAAGAGGAAGCCTGCAGAAACACTTTGAAGGGCACAGCTTGCTGTCAATTTTGAGAGCTACTGTGCCTTGTAGGTGAGAGATGTAAAACATCACTTTTGATGGCTTGTAAGGACACACGAAGATCAGTATGATCCATACTTACCTTACATTTATTACCATCGTGTGTAACCAAGCCTATTCTGTTTCCTAGCTCAACTGTCTGTCACCAAAATAAACACCATTGTTTACTGGAACCTTTTACAAAGAAATGTTTACTTCACGTAATGTTCTGGAGTTGGTCAAGAGATTCCTGTCCCCTGACTCGTAAACATGGAGCCAAGATAAGTATCTCAGATAAATAAATAAATATAGTATTCTCTTGGTTCCTTGTTACTATTGCACAATATTTGCCACATTTCACATGTCTAATATATTGAGTTTTGAACTCTTGTTCGGTTTGAGGTTCTAGATATGGCAAAGGGCCAGATCTCTCTCTCACCCCTTACTTCTATGAATTCAATGAAGACCAAGGGACTACGTAGGTGAATAAAGCAAGCAGCATTGGGTTCATATTAACACATGCACATGTCATCCTCTCCCCTGACTTACAAGAATAAAAAGCTTTTTATTCAAACATTGCCTTTATTAGGGTAGCTCTGATGTTTCTTTCACAAATTAAGGCATTGTTCCACTTAATTTTCAAGTGAAAGAACTCATTTGATTTGAGGCTATCATTAGGCCATACAAAAGTGGTCTGTGTAAAGGTCTTGGATAACCTCCTACCACTGCTAAACTACAAACTACATGTCATGTGGCAACCTGTCACAACTAGAGGAACTCTTAAAACTAAATTATAAGGGAACTTTACAGACATGTGACTACACATGGTAGCTTTATGAGCTAAACCCTTTATAGTCCAGAATTGCTTATTGTGTGATCAAAATTGGGCCTTGATCTGCTTTGGAAAGAGGGTAGATAGAAGGAATTGTTTTTAGTAGGTGTTCTTTCAGACAACACACGGAGACAAATGTGCATGAGCGAGACAGGCAGAGTTTGATCAGATCAGAATAAATGAGGTGGCTGCTGTAACCTTAAATTTCCCTGACAAGGTAGTTATCTGCCCCCTGGTACCATAGTGTTTGAGCAGCCTCTTAAACTTGAATGTATTTATGCTCTCAACAGCCCTGTGAGGTAGGGAAGTGCTATGATCCCCATTTTTCAGATGGGGAAGGAAGGCCCAAAGAGACCAGGGGACAGATTTTTAAAGGTATTTAGACATCTAAAGCTGCAGCTAAGCACCTAGTGGGGTTTTCCATAGTGCCTAGGCACCTATCATATTTTGATGTGTAATACCTTTAAAATACTGGCTGTGATGTGCGAAAGGTCATATGGGACATTTGCAGGGAATTAAACCTGGGGTCTCCAAAGTCCCATGCTAACCCCAAACCCTGGGCTGTCCTAAGTAGCGAAGTCTGACACCATTCTCAGAGCTGCAGGAATCACAGAACTGGAGGGGATCTCAAGAAGTCATCTGCACTCAAGGCAGGACGAAGTATTATCTATACACTGTAAGCCGAGCAATGTGCTATGGATCTGATGGCAGAGTTTGGCTCATAACCTACTGTGTGGATACAATGGATAGTCAAAGTACACTAGTTGACTTCTGCTTTAGTAGCTGTAGTTCCTTTTCTTTCTTAAAGTTAGTCTCATTCCAGGTCTGTTTATGATATCTATATATTCTAAATCTCTAGGCATGCTTACATTAAGAATGATACAGTGTGAATAACAGAACTGCCAGCCAGAATTAGGGGGAGAGACAAACAAAGCAAACATCTATTCTTAGACCTTGGGCTTTGGACTCTGTGTGAGCTTGTTGGACCAAGGGAACAATTGCCAGAATCAAGACCTTTCTACTGACCAAGCCTACGTCACACTATACAAATCTGGGGTCTGTCAGCTTGCGTGTAGCAACTGTCTTCTGTGACGGTGTGGTAGCCTTTAGACTTGTCCCATAAAGGGCTTTATAGATCAAAATTACAGTAGATTTTTTTAAACACACAATAAGTCAATGTAGCCTTTCAAGCTGAAGCAAATCTTTGATCTATACTTCTGAGTTTTAGATTTAAAACTCAAAAGAATGGTCATGTTTAAACAGTACAATTCTGTGTTCAAATGGCAATCGACTGAAAAATTGGTGACTGCAAAATGTAGTGGTAGTTTAAGGACAGCAAGAACCCTCAATGTACATCTGGTTCTTTTAAAAGTTTTTAAAGGTATCCAAGACACTTTAAACTGCACCCTAGAGACAATATTGTGACCAAGGTACGAGTAAGAGGTAGCTGCACAATCAGTGACTTTATAAGATGAAACAAAAAGTAAAATAAGAGTTTGTTTGTTTGAAGGCAAGTAATTTCATGACTTTCAAGCAGATCTCGGTTTCAACTGCTGTTGATGCAACTAAAAAGAAAATGGCAGGAAGCAGAAGGAAGAGTTCTCACTGTTCAGGAGCTAGAGAAAAAGTAGGTATCTTCTTGGCTGTGAAACTTGCCACTGAGTTAATAGCGTACATAAAAATAGCCCAAAGGTCCATCTAGCCCAGTATCCTGTCTTCCGACAGTGGCCAGTGCCAGGTGTCCCAGAGGGAATGAACAGAACAGGGAATCATCCATCCCCTGTCGCCCATTCCCAGCTCCTGGCAAACAGAGGCTAGGGACAAAATTCCTGCCCATCTTGGCTAATAGCCATTGAGGGACCTACCCTCCATGAATTTATCTAGTTATTTTTTGAACCCTATTATGGACTTGGCCTTCACAACATCCTCTGGCGAGGAGTTCCACAGGTTGACTGTGCGTTGTGTAAAGAAATACTTCCTTTTATTTGTTTTAAACCTGCTGACTATTAATTTCATTTGGTGACCCCTAGTTCTTGTGTTATGAGAAGTAATAAAGAAGTCAAATCTCAAACCCTGCTGATTATTCTCCCGTGACTTTTTTAAACTTCTCTATAACACACTTTTATTTTTGTCTTGTGACAGATTGTCATCTCTGGTGATCTGTTTGAAAACAAGAGACAATTAAGTTAAAAAGAGAAGAGGGCTCATCAACCAGCTGGTAGTTCTTCCTGTGCGCTCCACTCAAGCAATAATTAGTACTCTATATCAGCATTGTTTTGCATCAGATCTTTTTAATAGCCCTTTCAGCTTCTGTGTATAGCTCAGATACATAAGCATATTCTGAGAATGCTTAAAATAAAATTGGTAGCTGATAATGTTGACACTGAAGCTTGTAACTGACAGTGTAGCTCCTGATAGCATCACATTCAGCTCCTCCAACTCCTTTCGTCATGGTGGTCTTGCTTCAGAGCTTAAGGGAGTCTGGGGGCACTGACAACAATTACAACTCACCCTCTCTGCTGTGGAGAAGAGCTTCAAAATGAGGCTTTCAACAATAATGACTTTGATAACCTAACTTTTAAGTGTTGCTTATTTCAGTCATATAAATAAGCTGTGCTTACTAGGGTTGGTCTATACTTAAAAGTTAGTTCAACATAGCTACAGCAGTCAGGGTGTGTGAAAAATACACACCCTTGACTGACAGAGCTATGCCAACCAAACCCTCAGTGTAAATGCAGCTATGCTGATGGAAGAACACTTTTGCTGATGTAATTGACTTTGTTCAGAGAGGTGATGTTTCTAAACACGTGGAAAAAACCCTTCCATTGGTGTAGGCTGCATCTAAACTATGGGGTTATGACACCTTAGCTACATGGACATAGCTAAGCCAATGTAGTCTCTGTAGTATAGATACAGACTATGCTCTGGAAAACCAGTGCAGACTAAAAATCATTCATATTATGGGGTTGCTGGGAGGAAATACTGCCAGAGCTCCCAGGCCTTTAAAAGTAAATGAAAATCCAGATTAATTATGGTACATATGGGGAGGCCTTAAAGAACTCCCAACAGGAGAATACAGAGAAAGCACTACTTTCATTGCTGCATTATCTGACACCAGAGATGCGGAAAGAATTCTGGTGGTAGCTCCAGACAGAAGTCTGCTCTACAAAGGATTTTGATAGTCCCAGACCTCCACTAGGCAATACTGTTGCTATGGAAAGAATTTACAGTAATTCAGACAGACTTCACACATAAGGCTATGTTCTGCAAAAGTGGAAGATTTGTACAATTGAGGGTCCTGTGTTATTTCAAGGATGTTCTTTTGGCAAACAAACTCCTGGAGAAAATCAAACTAAACAACTGATGGCAAAGTTGAGTTCAAATTGGCTATTTCATTCTCTGTGGAGTAGCTGTATGAAGTCTTGTGTTTGAAAAAAAAGCTTCCTGTTTTTTTCCGTCATTGAGACCATAACTTCTGTGATAGCTCAATGTGCAAATGCTCTAATTTTCTTATGGCAC